TGCTATGTGTATTTGTATATTTCAGACTCTTTCGTGTGTATCTTTTGTATATCATTCAATCCGTGCAATTTCAATTTGTGCGTTTAAGATCAATTACAAAATGATTATTCCATAATGTACAATACTATTTCTTTAAAAAGTATTTGAAAAAAAAAAAAGTTAACAACACAGTGTTGATATACTCAAATAGCTTTATTTGCACAGATATAGTATAAATGCTTTCTTTCCCCATTAATCCTTTCTCAAAGCAAAACTGGAGATTTCTATTCCATCCTTGGTAATAATTTTGATAGTTATTCCATCACCTGTGTATATGTCTCTTTCGGCAGCAGAAGTGAAAACGTCTTTCAAGATTGCTATAGCCTTTTCTTGAGTTAAAGGTACAGGAGTAACACCTTCTTGATTTTTGTAACCAATCTAAAAGATAGAAAATTTACACGTACAAGATGTAATATTAATTATATATTTTCTTTTTCTTAAATAAATATATACAGTTGATTTACATATTCGTGTGTGTATATATATACATAAATATAAAAGATTAAAGTATTATATATACTTAATTATCAAGAAGTGGTTGCAAAAGTGCACCTGCTGAACCACCGGCCCTGTATGTAGTTTTCTCACAATGTCCAATTGGATCATAGCTATATATACAGCCTTTCCCATTCTCATCTAATCCAGCAAGTATATTACTAACATAATAAGGAAAGAATCTCTTATGATACAGCATTATCGACAGCATTTGTGCTGCTGCTGGAGTTGACATTTCCTTTTGATGTTCATGTTTATACATCTGAAGCAAAATAATAACTATTATACTCATGTTTAACAATTTAGTATGTATCGAATGTTATCATATAATTGTTTTATTATATTCTAATTCTAATTGATTTCAAGTACAAGGTTTAATACCTGCATGCGAGCTGATAGGAGACGAGTTAGAGTTGTGGTATCACACCAACAACCGGAGCATCCTAAGATAGTCGTGTCTGACAATGGAAATAATTTATCTTGATTTCGAGTGTGAATCGTGAATCCAGTGCTGAGACGCGTGTCTGCGGCTATGACGCAGAAATCATCCCCAGCGAGAGCCACAACACTCCTGAGGATGAACCAGTGTTTTCATATATTATGTAAATGTAAAATATCTCATAAATATATAAAGAACATAGAGCTATAAAGAGATATTATAAAATAAAAACCAAGAATACCGATCAACCGTAGAAAATTGTATACTCTAACAATTATGACACTTAAAATTAGTAAAAATATAGGTTATTTTTCGCTCACCCTCCATTATCGGAATATGGATTGAAGTTTACTTTTCTTACTCCCTGTACCTCATAATCGGGTAAATTTCCTTTCCCATTTTCAATCAATAGATTCATCATCGCGCTTAATTCACCAAAATACCTCAAATGCAACTACCTGAAACTGAATGATAGTATGACACTACAGTTTCTCGGCTTTTGCAGTTTCTCGCGATGGCACAGATGGCAGACGTCACAGCAAAACACAGACGCGGATTTACACGAGTTCATAAAACATTTATAAAAAGGCCTGTTTTTTTTGTACCAGTTCATTTTTCTTCCTTTTCTCTCCAGCAGAAAAGAAGAGGAAGATAGATGAATTGGCGCAAAAGTTCAGCCAAAAAGAATAGGCTTAAAGCGTTATTTCATGAGATGAAAAGTCAGCGTGTGGTCACAAGTTCTTCAAAGATCTATAAAGATAGAAATGCATGTATTTTTGCTACCATCATGTTTCTGTAAAAAAAAAATGTATTTTGGTTGAAAAATTTTTCTCTGATAAAATTTTTTTGAAAATATTTTATATAATTTTCAGAATTTTTATATAAATTTCAGAATTTTTCAGAATTCTTTTAAGGATACAACACTTTTGAAGAAAATTAATTATTTTTTTAGAAGTAAATATTAACGAAACTGATAAAATAATTGATAAAAAAATATTTGAAATAGAATGATCTTATAAGAGTACTTAAAAATTTTAATTTAAAAAATTGTTTTATTTTCACTTTTATAAATAAAAATTTTTTTTATTTAAACAAATTTTTTAAAATTATTATTATAAAGTATTTTTCAAATCATTAAACTTTTATTCAGAACATTAGTTAAGTTTGATCTCGAACAGTTTCAAATGATATTCGTTTCGAAACGAATATTTATTTAAAAAAAAATCGATCTTTTCAAAGGGAGTATTGCACTCCTTAAAAGTGTGATTTAGCCTTTATAAAAAAAAATACGTATTATCTTATTTTTGTCTAGAAAACAAAATATTCAAATCTCATTAAAATCGGAGAGGAATACTTCTATGAGTTTTTTTGTAAGAAAAGATGTAGAATTTCTCAATATTATTGAAAAGTATCCTAAATAAATATGTATAAAAATTCTGAGAAAAATTTTCTTGACTGTGTGACGCGGCACGTTTCAACCGTTTGCAAGTGTTGTTCCCTTTCTGCTGAATTCTGCACCTCTCGTCCTCCCACTCCTATCATTCGATTTGACGTCATTCTGCCGGTTCCGCGCGATCCGTTCCGCACTCGTCGAGTGCAGAAAGAGTAAGAAAAGGCTGTTCGCGCGGCACGAGGAACCTTACGCCGACTCGGACAGATCGTTGAACTCGGTATGACTGACGTGTTCAGGCGACGTTTTAACATTTTTGTGCTCGAGTATACAGTCATTCTTTTTCCAGTAAGTGAAATATTGTGAGCAAGAGTAACGAACGCAATATGAATATCGCACGAAATATATATATCGTACATGCCGCGAATAAATGGCTTTCCTCGCAGGGCCGTGTGTCGAGGGGGGAAATGCAGGTTCCTGGGCGAGCTATATTTTTGCGCGAGATATAAATCGAAACCTGATGTTAATAGAAATTATTAAAGTGAAAATAGTCGCGTCGTAGACTTGTTCCTTTCAGTTAAACTTTTTAGATCCGTTTCTACTAATGTAATTTAATCTTAACTGGGTTCAACTAATTTCTTATTCTACTATCTTATTCTAGTTTTAAAAAAATCAGAAACAGATGAAAAGTAAGTTAAATCGAGATTAAAGTCTAATTTACATTGATAGAAACAGGTTTATTACACGGTTTATCTTTATTCGCATTTCTTCACATTGAAAAAAAAAAAATAAAATTAGGCACATAAGATCTCTTAAGTTTGGCAAATAAAATAACATATATATATTTTTTACTTGCACGTTTATCTGTCAATTTATGTGCCAATTGAACTACCGTGCATTTTGAGAAATATATTGTACACATTATACGTAAAAAGATACTGTTTTATTGTTGGGAATTAAATTATTCGAAATTAACTGCATTCATATA